GGCGTCTTCACCTATGAAATGGGAACGATCCTGCTCTGCTCATGGGGCTGTGCTGAGTGCACACAGCAGGGACAACACAAGGAAGCCGTCAGCACTGTCAGCCTCACATCTTGCCCTCTCCCACCTGCCTATCTACAGTCGTCCATGGCAACCAGAGAGGCCCCCGAACTTCCTTTTATCAGTGAGAAAGAGGCTCTCTTAAGCCACCCAGCCGAGGGGTACCCTGCTCTGGTCTGCTGCGTGGGGAAGAGACCCAGGCTGGGCGAAGGCAGCCTGATCAGCAACCAGCTGGCAGACTCCAAGCCAGCCACTACCCATCTCAGGGTCTTAGTCCCCGGCCTTGACAATGGGAGACCTCTATGCTTTCTCCAGCCCTTATACTCGAGGACCCTGTGACCCTCCTCCCCCGGCCCCCAGCACCCACATTCCACACCAAGCAGACACCTGATCTGGCCTTGGGTCTTGGCGACTGCCTACTGTGCTATGCCTGTTTACCCAACATGGCCATAGACATGATCCAAAGCTTCCGGCGCTGTTGTGAAAACAGCGGCTCAGCCACCACAAGCCTGCCTGCCCACCCCTCCACAGGCACTGTGGCAGGGACCTTTGCCGGACAGCTGGTGGCCTTCTCTCGTATGCAGTGCAGCCCAGCACTGTACGCAGGGTCTCTCAAGCTTCCCACCAAAGGCCCGCTGAGCACTCTCCTTCCATTCTAGGTCTTTGCTCTCAGCCCAGACCCTCCTGAGTTCCAGGCTCATGGGTCTACCTGCCTGCCTGACCTCACCATGTGGACGTCTCTAGGGGCCCCCAAACGTCCCTCCATCCAAAGTGCTCCTCATCTACTAGCTACCCCAGTGCCCGCCCGGGTGCTCAGGCCAGACCCGTGGGGGTGGGTCTTTATCCTCCCGTTCCTGCCCACACACCAATGCTACCATTTCTGCCTCCGTGTCTATCCTGAAACCCTCTTTTCTCTCCACCCACTGGCCACCGTCACCCTCCCCGGGTCTCTGCATCAGCCTGCACCCTGCTCTTCTCCCCTACTCTGGCTCCACAGTCCCTCTGCCCCAGCAACTAGAGATGTCTTTTAAGCAGATCTCATCGCTTCCTGCCGAGTCAACCAATGTTATCTACCGCCCCTCTGATTGGCTCCCCCTGGGCTGCGAGGCCGGCCGGCCCCACCCAACCTGCCCTCTTTACCTCTCAGACCTCCACGGCCGCTGCCTCCCCTCACTCTGTCCCAGCCAAAATGACCCCTTTTTGGTTCCCTGAGCAGCCAAGTTCCTGCCCACTTGGGAGCATCTGTGCTTGCTGTTCGTCTTCCTGGACCACCCCCCACAACACACACACACCGGCTCCTTCTCATCATTTGGGTCTCAGATAGATACTTCCTAACCCACCCATTTCACAGACAAGACAATTGAGGCTCAAAGCAGTCCAGCTCTGCCTCAAGAGGACATAGCTTGTAAACGTCAAATAAGGATTCAAAGCCGGTCTCTCTGATGACTGCAGGGGTCCTGCTCCTAAACCTTCAGGATGCCCTCACTCACACTCACCACCCAGCCCCCAGTGATCTCCAGCCCTCCAGCTTTCCAGCCCCTGCCGAGTACACTACCATCATTACCACTCTTCAATGCCCAAGACCCCAGTTTCTCGGCCTGGAACAGTGAAGGCCGAAGCTCAGCCCAACCCTCACTGGGCTGACCTTCTAGGTGTCCCTGGGGCAGGCAGGGCCCTGCCACCAGCTGCCATCTGCCAAGGATATGTGTATGTACTGTATATATGCGGAGATTTCTAGCTCTCTCCCACACCGCTCCTCCAGCCTCCATCAGCCCCAGATGCCCACCTCCGTCCCCAGCCCAAAGACTGACTCCTGGGTTCCAAAGGGTAGGCAAGTTGGCAGCAGGGCTTACCACCCACCCCCTTTTCCCAGCCTTGGCTACTCCAAGCCCAATGGTCTGCAGGGGGCCAGGGCAGCAGAGTGGGGCCGAGGGGAGGCCTGAGGGGGCAGCAGGCAGCTGTGGACTGCATTTCCTTCCCTGCATCCATTTGTCATGAGATCTACTTTTCTCCCTTTGAAAGGGAGTGAGGGGGAGAGGAGCAGGAGGGGGCTGGGCTGCTGAGTGGGAACAGCTGCCATCCTGGGGCGCCTCTCCTCAGAGGACATGGAACCTATTGAACTGACAGAACCCCTCCCCGTCCTCGGCACTGCTGCTGGAGGCAGAATCGAGAGGGAATGAGGGAAACAGAGACGGGGCTTCTCAGCCAGCTCTGCAGCCACCTGGCCCTGGGACAGCCCCCAGCCCGTCAGAAAATAATAACCTGCTTCAGTGCCACTTGCCTTTTTCTGAACAGTCATCATCATCTGGGGGCTAAGTACTTTACATAACTACAGTTTCCATCATTAAATACTTGCAGTGTGCTAGGCCCAGTGCTAGCTACTTTGCATACATTGTCTGTTGTTTGCTGTATACCACCACCATATCCCATTTATCAGATGGCGAAACTGAGGTGCTGAGCGCAAAGGCAAGTGCCCAGGTTCGCACAGCTGCCTGGAGCTGCTTAATTCCAGAGACGCAGCCCAGCCACTCACAGGAAGGCCAGCCTGTGGCCAGGGTTAACACTCTGAACCCGGCTTACAGGCTTGGAGCAAGGGAGGGGCCGGGGCGTGGGGGCTGCAGGGAACCTCATGGCCTCAGCCTCCGCCCCTCTCCTTGAGCCTCCAATAAGGCCTGACCCACCTGCCTGCCTTCTAGCCCCACCAGCCCTGGCAGGGGAAAGCCTGGTCAGTCAGCCTAACCCACTGGCCAGCTGCGGCTCCCCTCGGCAGGCAAGGCGGGGGCAGGGCAAGCCGTGGACAGAGGGCTGGTCAGTCCCATTCTGAAACCACTTCCTGGGCAGCCCAGAGGAAGTCAGCCTCCAGAAACGCCTTAGACGGACAGGCCTCTCCTTCCCCTGGGCCCAGGCCTTGAAGAGTGGACAGATTCCCCCTCCCTAGGAGAAAAGCACCCTGCCTGCCTCCCAGTCCCCAGAGCCTGGCAACTCCACTCCCACCAGGCATGGACACTGAAAGGGACAGAGGGGCCAACGGGACCCCCCACCCACTGCCGAGCACCTTGGCCCCACGACCACAGGCAGCCCACTTCCTCCTCTGTGGCAGCAGCTACAAACAGTGCCAGCACAGCTGGCAGGGCCTTCCCCCACACCCCATGCGCCCCCGTACTAAGCCCTGGTCAGCCTGGGGGCCTGTTAAATGCCTGGGCAGAGCCCACCTCCCAGTGTGGCCCAGCCCCCTCACGGCCCTGTGGTCACAACCACACCTTAAAGCTCACCTTCAGGTGCCAGAAACAGACTGGCCTGGCTGGGCTGTAACCCTGACCAGAGGCCCTCCATTCCTGGCCCCAGAACAGGCAGTGTGGTGTGTTTGGGCAGGCGTCTGAGTGCACGGATGATGGTAGAGACTGGGAGAGCATCTGTGTGTGTCTGAGTGTGCCCATTCATGTGAACACCTGTGTACAAATGTGTGATGTATGTGCAGGCAGGTACATAACCCCCTTTTCCCCTCGCCCCCCACCGTGGGCACTTGTGGGTCTGTGTCTGCAGGCATACATGCCAAGCACAGCCTCCATTTCTGTATCCCTGTGTGAGCACATGTATGTCTATGCAGGCTAGCTAGGTGATGTTTCAGAGCCCTGGTGGCACAGTGGTTAAGAGCTCGGCTGCTAACCAAAAGGTCAGCAGTTCAAATCCACCAGCTGCTCCTTGGAAACCTTATAGGGCAGTTCTACTGTGTCCTACAGGATTGCTATGAGTTGGAATCGACTCAATGGCAATGGGTTTAGATGATGTTTGGGAGTTTAAAGTGGGCTGGCTGTAAGGCTAATTAACTGAACTTCTTAGGGAATGAGGCCCAGAGCTGGGAGAGGCTGGTTCACCTGACCTCAGGTAGCAGGGGCCCCACAGCCAGCCAAGCCACATTGCTTCCTCCCCACCAGGTTTAAGACCCAGAGAAGGCCCTGTCTTTGTTGTGCGCCTGCCCCAGGAGGGCAGGCCCTGAACCCCTGCTCCTCAGAGCCAGGCACAGGGAGCCCAGATCCCACCAGTCTACTCCCAGGCACCTAGGACCCTGCAGGTGCCTCGCAGCCAGTAAGGGTGAGAGTCGGGGGCTGATGAGGGTGGGCTCCTGAGGAAAGATCACTGCTATCCCCCTACTATCAGTTCCTAGGTTCCAGGTGCCCTCAGTAACCCCTCCACCCCCTCAGAGTCAATGAGACCCAAGACACTCAGTGGGTAACTCCCAGGGCTGTTCTCATTGCAATGGGGGTTGAAGCAGGCGAGGCTGTTTGCAAAGGGAGGAGTTTCTAACTTCACGAGGGGCCTCAGGGAGACTGTATTCCCCCCCAACATTCCTTAGAGGCTCTGCCCAGCTCACCCCTGAATCTGGAGGGCAAGGAGAGGGATATAGAGTCCCTCCTGGGGCCCTAGAGAGGCTGGGGGGCTTAGAGAGGGGACTGGGGTATGGAACAGAGCTCAGCTGTGCCAAGAGCTGGAAGACCCAGTTCCATTTTCAGCTCAGCCTCCAACCCTTTGTGGGGGCCAGGGCAAATCCCTTTCCTTGTGTGATGATATGGACAGCCTGAGGCAGATACAAGGGGCCTTGGAAGTGCTGATACATCCACTCCTAACCCTAGGCTCACATGACCTTCTCTCTAACTCACCAGCAAAGTGTCACCACCCCTTGCCCCAAACCACTGGTGAGTCCCAGGCCTCCAAGCTCCAAGACCAAAGCTATCCCCAGGCCAGAAGCCAGTGTCTGGGCAGGGAGCCCCCAGTGGGCAGGGCAAGCCACTGCCTTCTCTGGGCCCCCAGGTCCCACCGCCAGAGCAAGGACTCTGCGAGCCCCCGTTACTCCCGTCCTACAGTGGGAGGGAAGGAGCCCAAGGAGGAAGGCTGCCCCTGAACACTGTCCGTCTGTCCATCTACCTAAGAGGACCTAGTCTCACCTGCGGCTCCCAGCTCCTGCTTGTACCTAGTCCTTGCTCGTGCTGCCGCTGCCCCGCAACAATCACCAGGAGAAGCCGGCCCGCTGCCCTCACCCGGGGCCAGTTCCCAGCAGACCTGCAGGGACAGGAGAAAACAGCTGAGCCAGGAGGTGCAGCCAAACAGGCTTTCCCCATTGGTCAGCCCCAGCATGGCTGACACAGGCCCAGTTCATCCTTGCCTGGCTCTGAGACCTCCAGCCTCTCTGGACTCGGTTTCCTTTTCTGTGAAATGAGGTGTTGGGGTCAACTTTTCCTGGGCAACGATGATGTGTCTACCCCGTGCTAGGGCGCGGAACATTGTGTTCCTGCCCTCGGAGCGTTTCCAGCCTGGCGGGGAGGCCGTCAGACACACACAAGAAGGACGTTCCTAACCCTGCAGGCTTGGGGGACCTAGGGTACAATCAGGCACCCCTACCATGTGGCCTCCAGCAACTCCTCTGAGCATTTTTTTCTCATCTTCAAAATGGGGAGAATACTGGAACACACTTCCCTGGGTGGTTCTGAGGCTCCAGTGATGTGACATGCTGGTCCTGTGCTAGACTCATATTGGGAGTGTCAGATATGAATAGTAACACCTTTTCCTTCCTTGTTTGGCACCTTATAGCTAAACAGTGTCAGGGGCCTGCAGTCACAGCTCCGAATGACCCCCCACCACCTTCTCCCCCCTCGCTGCTGCTGAGACTAGGGGTGGGGACAAACAGGGCTGGGTGCTAGGGGCTCCGTCAGCTTCTGCTTCCTCCCACAAGCAGCCTGGTCAAGGAGGTGGGAAGCTAACATCAACAGACACATCCCAGGCAGGAAATGGGTTGGTGACTCTCCGGGTTTCCATTAGCCCTGCTCCCAGGAGAATGGGAATCAAACAGCTGGATGGGAGGTCACCAAATAAGACTTAACATGTGCTGAATATTCATTACAGGCCAAGGCTGTGATAAAGGACCCTTGACACGGGAACCTTCTCCATTCTGCACATAAAGAAACTGAGCCTTAGGCCGAGCTCAATTTCTTGCTCTTAAGAGGCCCAGCAAGTAATGGAGCCCAAGTCTTTTCTGGTTCCGGAGTCCAAGATCTTGGTCACAACACTACAAATCCCAAGACTTTCCCCCAGTGCCTGTCAACTTGGGGGAGTGCAGGAAGGTGAGGGGTGGGGGCTGAGCCTTCCCAGGCTCCCCAGGAGCCAGGGCTGGGCTTGGGGCCTGCTGTGCGCACACTCACACCCTTGCAGCCCACCATATGCTCACGCCCTCTCCCCCACCCCACACTGTTACCCAGAGCGCAGGCACCACACACCTTGTCACACCCCCTCCTGCTACCGACACCCACACCCAGGCACTCTCGGTTCCCCACAATCACGGTCACTCCCCCAGCACACGCACCTGCAGTTTCATATAGTCAGACTGTGAGTCTCCCATCAGTCATCGGACATCGTAACCCCACACCGCCACTGACTCGCCCCCAGCCACGGCCCTGTCACACACTGGATCCCTCACACTAATGGCTGACCAAACACCTCCACATCTCTCTCTCACACACCCACCCACCCACACACCCACACACACCCACCCACACACACCCACACACACACACACAGCCGCCCTCTGCCGGCCTGTCTGCCACACCCCAGCTCAGTCTACAGAAGGAAGGAGGAAACCCAAGGGACCAGTCCCCTCCCTTGGTGACCAGGTCAGCCTGGTTACAGTGGCTCAGTGACAAACGGACAGAATTACATGCGTGTGTGCACATACTCATATGCACACATGAGCCTGGTGGACTGGCACCCCAATATCAGGGGCTCCCTCAATAAACAGCTTAAATGTACGCAGCGTGCAGCTCAGGACCCTTTAGACACACAGGGACTCATACACGCATACTTCAACACACAGGGCGAGTCCAGTAACAAAGAACACACCAAGACAGGGTTCACACCCAGTTACAAAGGCCTCACACAGAGCCTCAGGGCACACAACCAGACACACACACACACAGGCAAGTCCCACACGTGAAAAAGGACACACACACAGGCAAGTCCCAGAAACACTGACAACACTCAAGCAGATCTAGACACACAACATACCTACTCGCCCAGACACCGGCGACTCAGCAAAGGAGACAAGGTCCATGCATACAGGATGGGGGTCAGAGGAGAAGGGACCCCTCCCCACTCACGCCAAATCCCCAGGTTTAAATGGGAGGCTCAGTGGGGCTCTCCCCTTCCCCAGGTGGGGGAGTTGGGCAAGTGGGGCAGTTCTGACAGTGCAAATCTCCTGCCTCCCTCTGGGACCGGGAAGGCACTCCCGCCCCCGCTGTCCCCTTCCCTCACCTGGCTGGGTCCCCGCCGGAGATGGCGCCTGGGCAGGGGAGGGGCCGGGGACCGATGAACCAGGCAACTGCCCCCAAGGGAGGGGGTTAAGAGGGGCAGAAAGGTGGAGTGGAGGCTAGAGCCACGCCCAGTCCAGAGACTGAAAGAGAGAAGAAGTGAGACAGAGACTGAAAGAAGAGGTAGAGCGAGGAGGAGGTGCCGCGCGGGCCAGGGAGGGACACAGGTGCGGGAGGCGAGGCCCGGCGGGCGGCCTAACTTAGTTCGGCTCCGTGGTGGAAAATGCGAGGCAGCAAGACAGGCAGGGGCCGCGGAGGGGGCGGAGGGTGTGAGCTGGGGGCGCGGCTCCCGGAGGACAGGACCAAGGGGGCGAGGAGTGGGGGCGATGAGGCACACGGAGAACCAAGGACAGACAGGACTGGGGAGATGCGGACAGGGGAACACAGAGAGAGTGGGGACAGACCGACGGACAGAGAGCCCCAGAGAGATTCGTGAGGGACACTCAGAGGGGCTGGGGACACACAATCGGGTAGAGGAGCCGGCAGTCGAAGGACTAGAGGGCCTCGGCTCCCACCGTCGTATGGAGAGACGGAGGCACCAGCAGATCTCGGCGCGCGGCGGGACTTTCGCCGCCTACGGCTCAGTTTCTAGATTTCGGAAAGGGGAACCGGAGGCGGGGGGCGGGGGGAAGGGAGGGATGGCGCGCCCTTTGGGTAGCCCCGATTCCGCGCCGGGGCCCAGCCCTCACTCACCTCCGGGCGCCGGGCCAGGCGCCAGGGGTCTCGGCGGCTGGGGTCTGGCTCCTGGCGCGCCTCTGGGGCGCGCGAGGGGGTCGGAGGTCGGTGTGGGCCGACCCGAGCCGGCCCGGCGGCCAATGAAACACTACCCGGGTCTCGGCGCGGTGGGCGGACGCCGGGGGTCGCTCAGGGGCTCCCAGCAGTCGCCGCCTCCTGCTCTGGTGCCGCCGCACACGGAAGTGCAAGGGGGCGGGGCGGCGCGACCTCACCCAGGTGCCGGCCGGCCCCGCCCCCACGCGGGGCCCGCCCACCAGGGCCCGCCTCCGGCAGTCCCAGCCCTTCGGAGGCCTCGCCCCCTCCAGCTCCGAGCCCGGGGTCCAGAGTCTTTCCGCCTTCCTCTGTGCGGGTCGGAGTCTTGGGCGTCTCTGCCTTCTTTCGCACACTTCACCCTCCGCCCGTCTTTAGTGCGTGCAGACACCTCAGAGGGTGTCCTATTTTACAAAGGAGGACGCTCAGGCCCAAAAGGGGCGCCCCATTCACTCCGGCACACTGGGGCCCGAGAGGCGCCGGCGGGGGTTCCCCGGCTCCTTGCGCCCGCGCCCACGCCCACGCCCACGCCCGGGACTCCCCGTCGGCCAGCTGGCCCATCTTGCCCCACCTCAATCCTTCTCTTGCTGTTGGCTGGAGCGCGGACGCAGCCGGGCTCCGCGCCCGCCAGGCCTGCCCTTAGAGATGGAGCCGGGAAGACTCCAGGGCAGGAGGCTCTAGCGGGTCCCGGTTGCTAGCCAAGCGGTTCTGGGAGCTTCCCCGATCTGGACCCCCCCGCCCCGCCCCAGTCCACCGCTCTTCTGCCCTTATGTTAGGAAGCTCCTGTTGCCCCCGCAGGTGCCCGAGCTTCCTTTCCAAACACGGAACCTGGTTGTCGGCCATAATTCATTCATTCACTCATTTATTTATTCACTGAGTGTTCTCTGGGCCCAAGGCCTGGGGACTGAGTGGGCCCCAGTAAGTCCATTGCCCTGCCGGCAAAGCTCACAAAGCTGTTAGCCCTGTACTCATCCAAAGAAACATCACTTTCCAAAAGGCAAAGAAGACGGTTCCAGGTCCGAGGTCTCTTGAGGGACCACCTAGAGGGGATAGGAAAGGTCTGAACAGCTTTTCCGTGCTGAGGCCAAAGGGATGGAAGTGGGGGGTAATCCCTGAGGAGGCCTGAGCTGAGCAAGGGGTCCATGGCAGAGAGAGGTCAAGGCTAAGACGTGGGTCTTCTGAAGGGGTGGAAAGGTGGTAAAGGCTGTTACAAGAGGTGGGATGACTGGATCAAGTGGGCTTCTTGGGGGATAGATGGGACAGAGGGGCTGCAGGAGAGGGGAGGGGCTGGGTTGGCCGACAGAGGGGCTGATTGTTGTTCAGGTGGGAGGACCCCTGGCTGGGGTCAGGGCTTGTGAGTAAAGGGGCGGGGCTGCAGGCCCGTGAGGGGCATGGTGGGGGGAGGGTCTAGTGAAACCCCTGGGGATGGACTGCCTGGGAGAGAGGACGATCCTAAGTCCTGTTTGCAAATGAGGTGGTAGTCAGGTAGTCTGGGCTGAAGACAGAAGAACAATAACTCTTCCCAAGTGGGGTGAGGCAGCTGGGGCAGGGGGTGGGGGAGTTGGGGAGCAGAGGCTGGTGCCCTACACCATCAGAAGAGGAAGGACCCAGTTTGAAAGCCGGATAAAGTCCAAGTTCCCAGCCCTGACGTCTGTCCCTCATCCCATCAGGATGAGCTCTTTCTACCAAGTTGGACACCTCTGGCTACACTGGACTACCATTGGGAAAATAGCCTTGCTCCTTCTCACCTCTAGGGCTTTGTACATGCTGTTTCCTGGGCCCAAATGCCATTTCGCACCCCCACCCCTCACCCCTCTACTTGTCTTAGTTGTGTCCACTCAAATGCCACTCCTCCCTGATGTCCATTTTGAATCTGTGTCCTATCCCTGAGCTAAGAGGCCTGTCATGGATTGAATTATGTCCCCCCAAAAATGTGTGTATCAATTTGGCTGGGCCATGATTCCTGGTATTGTGTGATTTTCCTGTATGTTGTAAATCCTCTATGATGTTAATGAGGGAGGATGGGTGGCAGTTGTGTCAGTAAGGCAGGACTCAATCTACAAGATTGTATTGTGTCCTGAGGCAGTCTCTTGAGATATAAAAGAAGTGAGCAGAGAGACAGGGGGACCTCATATCACCAAGAAAGCAGTGCCAGGAGCAGAGCGCTTCCTTTGGACCCGGGGTCCCTGCGTGGAGAAGCTCCTAGTCTGGGGGAACAATGATGAGAAGAAGGCCAACAGGGAGAGAAAGCCTTCCCCTGGAGCTGACGCCCTGAATTTGGACTTTTAGCCTACTTTGACTGTAAGGAAATAAACTTCTCTTCATTAAAACCATCCACTTGTGGTATTCCTGTTGTAGCAGCACTAGATGACTAAGACAGGGCCATATATATTGGGGTGTTTCGTGTCCTGGTTTCCCCACCCCCACCCCCAGCCCCGGCTTCCCGGGGGTTGGGCTGGAGGCTAGAATGAGCAAGGTGAGCTTCAGGTGACCTTTGCCCCCCTGAGATCAGGTTTCCTTTCTGGCTCCTCCCTCCAGGTCCACAACAGCCAACTTGGCCTCTCCTTCAACATCACCAATAGGCCACAATGTGCCAGGGACTGCCGGGGGAGGATTGACCTTTGGGGAGTTCCAGGTCCAGCCACCAGACCTTTGCTTCCTGCTGTTCACCTTGGAAAATCGAAAAGAAGGAAAAGAAAACAGTGGCCATCACTGACAGGCGCTTGCCCAGAGCCAGGCCCTGAGCCGGGAGCAGGAGGTGTGTAGTCTGACCAGCCCTCAGGACCTCGTGAGCTGAGAGCCACTATCGGTGCCAGTTTTAGTGATGAGCAAACTGAGGCTCAGAAAGAGGTGAAGCCACTTGCCTAACGGTGCACAGCCAGCAAATGAAAGAAACAGGATTCAAACCAAGGTCTGCCTGTCTCCAAAGCCCATGCTTTAATAGGAGGTTCTTAATCTCAGCACTACTGACCTTTGGCACAAATAATTATTTGTTATGGGGGTCATCCTGTGCACCGTAAGAAATTTAGGGGTATTCTTGGCCTCTACCCACTAGATTCCAGTAGCAATTCCCCAAGTTGCCACAACCATAAACGTCTCCAAACATTGCCAAATGTCCCCAGGGGGGTGAAATCACCACTTGTTGAGAGCCATGCTTTAGAGCTGGGCTGGTGTTACAGGAGCAAGAAGGATTTAGACACCAGGAAGCATCTTTCTGGCCCTCAGGATTATGCAGACTCACAAGTTCAGGGTCTGCGAGCACCTCCGTGACTTTCCCCTCTGGAGACTCCCAGGGGAAGTGTGGTGTACTTAGAGAGGGAGCAGAGGGGCTGAGGCTGTGCAGGTCACGCTGTGGCCAGGGCAGAGAAGGGATGCAGGTAGGCTTCCCTCCAGAGACGGCCCTGGACCCAGGGGGAACCGGCCTGCATGGGGCCCAAGAAGTCTGGGCCAAGCTTGGCTGGAGCCATCCTGTACCCTGGAGCTGCTCCTGAGTACCTAAGGGATGGAATTGGGGGAGGGGGCACTCCAGATGCTTGTGCCCCTATAACCTGCCTGGCATTGACCGAAGAAGGGCCCACTGAAGCCTAGGAGCAAGTCCTGGCTGTGCTACTTGCCAACTGCATGACCCTGGGCAGGTGACCATCCCTCTCTGAGCCTCAAGTCCTCACCTATGAAAGGGGGCTAATGACAGACCCATCTCAGGGGCTGAGTAAAGATTAAGTGAGATGATGTGTGCAGTGCTTCAGCCAAGGTGGGTGCCCAGTGGGGGCTCAGTCCACACTGGCCAGACTTACTGGGAATGGTCACTGTGCCAAGTCACAGGCTGTCATTTGTGGAAGAGCTCTCGAAAGCCTTGAGCAACATGGGGGTAAATCCCCAAACAGGGCTGGGCCCAGAGCAGGCACCCAGAAGTGGTATTTTCCCTTCCTCCTCATCCAGGTTTGCAGCCAGGGAAATGGGTGGATCAGGGGTAGCACCGGGCAGAGTCCAGACTCCCACCCTCAGTGCCCACCTGGGCTGTCCAAAAGAGGGTCAGTCTGACTCCTGCTGCCGTTGTCTCGCCCAGAGGCATGAACCCTTGGTGCCCCGAGGCTTCTCCTCAGGAAGTCCAGGATTCGGCCAAGCAGCCTGGGGTCCATCCAGATGTGGGCAGGATGGGTGCCCTACCTGCTCCCTGCCAGGAGCTTGTCCTTGTCCTAGCCTCTTCCTCACTGGGCCCCTCTGCTTCTCGCTCACTGTGTCTCTGTGTGTCCCTATCCCCTCCCTGATGCTCTGGCTGCCAGAGGCATTCCCATCATACCCAGAGCACTGGCTGGCCAAAAGGAGAGTGGGTTCATGTTTTTGGAGCAGGAGGCCCAGGCCAGCCAGGATGGTGCACCTGGGCAACTGCTGGGGATGTCAGGGCCTGGAAGGGTCCAGCTGGGAGTAGTGAGGGTGGAGAGGGCACCTGCAACATGGTCCAACCTGAGGCCAACCCTTGGGCCACCGTGATGGTCATCAACAGGGGTATCAGCCTGGGGCACAGGGTGGGAGGAGGGTAAGGGCAGGTGGGAAAAGCAGTGGCCTTGGGGCCAGGGCCACATGGCAGGGAAGTGCCAGGTCAGGGGGCCGGAGGGCCCGGGTTCACATCCTGGCTTTGCCATGGACCTGTGACTTAACTGTGCTTCCAGTTCCTGGTCTGTCCAATGGAGACTATAATAATATCATCCTCATGGGGTTGTTGAGAAGATTGAAGAGATCAAGCTCCTGAGGCACTAGTAGCAAAACTCAATAATCCAAGTTGTTGTTAACTCCCAAATAAAGGCTTGGTGAGAGTGGGCTAAGGGTCTCCAAGCTCCTTCCTCAATAAATGTATGTTTGTGTGAAACCCGAGAAATACCTGGATAGACAAGGGGAAGGTGTTCTCAGAGAGTGCAGGGCACAGGGCTGTCCCGCGGCTCTCACAGGCCAGCACAGCCCCAGCTCTACGCTGGAAACCCCTCCTGGCTCCTTTGCCCACCTGCCCCCCACAAAGGAGTGGGAGGCAGGTGGGCCTTGGTGTCTGGGGCAGTCAGGAGTGACAGCTATCCCCTCGGCACAGAGTCCCTAGGAGTTTCCAGCTCTCCTCTTACCCTCATTCGTCTGTTCCCTTTCCCCGGACCCCCCTCAGCCCGCACCCGCCCTGCTCCGACGTCTCACACTAGGCTCTGGCACCTAGGGGTCCGGAGGGCTCCGTTACCACAGGCCCCGGGCCTCACCAGCCCCCTTACCTGCCCGCGCCTTAGTCGCCTCCGCAGAGATGGCTCACTGCGCCCAGCTTGGCCCGTGGGAAGCTGGGGAATGGGGGTGCCCTTGGGCTGGATGGCGGCCTTTCGAGGTGGAGAGGATGGGTAGGACCGCCAGCACACCAGAGTCCCCCGCACCGCACAAAGACCTCATCCCCACCCAGACAGCCGCGCTCTCCCGCGGCCACCGCGCACTCCGCCCAGCAGGCACAGCTCCGGTGCACCGGTACAGACAAGCCCCGTTCCCACCCTC